GATGTCCGATGGATCTTGGCTGAAGGCAGAGAATATCAGAAAGATGTTTATCTGTGCTTTATTCATTATGCAAAGGCTTTCAATTGTGTGTATCATGACAAGCTATGGAAAACATTGCAAAGTATACATATTCCGGAACACTTAATTGTACTCATTAGGAATTTGTACCCGGACCAAGAAGCGGTTATTCGAACAGAACATGGGAACACTGAATGTTTTAAAATTACGAAACGTGAGTGACAAGGTTGAATTCTTTCACCATACTTATTCAACCTGTATGCTGAGCAAATAATCTGAGAAGCTGGGTTCTATGAAGAAAAACGTGGCATTAGGATTGGAGGAAGACTCATTAACAACCTGCGATATGCAGATTATACAACCTTGCTTGCTGAAAGTGAAGAGGACTTAAAATATCTACTGATGAAGATCAAAGAGCACAGCCTTCAATATGGATTACATCTCAATGCCAAGAAAGCAAAAATCCTCACCACTGGACCAAAAACAAGATCTTATCAACAGAGAAAAGTCTGAAGTTGTCAAGGACTTCATTCTTCTTGGATCAATTATCAACACTCACGGAAGCAGCAGTCAAGCGATTAGACGATGTATTGCATTAGGCAAATGCGCTGCACAAGACCTTTTTAAAGTGTTGAAGAGCAAAGATGTCAGTCTGAGGACTAAGGTATGCCTGACCCAAGCCATGGTATATTCAATAACCTCATATGCATGTGAAAGCTGGACAGTGAATAAGGAAGACGGTAGAAGAATTGATGCCTTTGAGTTATCATGTTGGAGGAGAATACTAAAAGTGCAATAGATCTGTTTTGGAAGAAGCGCAGCCAAAGTGCTCCTTGGAGGCCAAGATGGCCAAACTTCGCCTCTCATACTTTGGACATATTGTCAGGAGGATACAGTCACTGGAGAAAGATATCATGTTTGGTAAGATGCAGGGTCAGAGAAAAAGAGGAAGACCCCCATTAAGATGGACTGGACTGGTGGCAGCATCGATGGACTCAAGTGCAGCAACAGTAGTGAGTTTGGCCCAGGATCGGACATTGTTTCGTACTGCTGTGCGTAAGGTCACTATAACTTAGTGCCAACTCAATGGCACCTAACAACAACAACAACAAGTTGAAAAGTGCAGAATTTGGGGATGAGTTCAAGAAATGGAAACATTGCCTTTAGAAGTGTATAGACCTAAATAGAAGATATGTTTCAGTTTGCTATTTTTTGCTTAGGAAAGGTTCCTGTGACTTTGTAAAAATACATTATTACTTAACCTTGTATATTCTATGATAAGGTATTATCAAATTGTTGTTCCTTAAATCTGAATCAAACATTAAAAAAAAAAAAATAAATTTAACATACCCTGATGGCAGAGTTTCTGTGTTGCTATTTCCAGACTGTTGCCGTATGGGTTCCACACACCCATCCGACTGTCTTATTTTGGCTGCTTCAAAAGCAGGATCATTTACACAGTTAGAGGTGGCAGGGTCTAATGTACTTCTAGCTTCAGATTCCAATGTTGTACTGGTAGAAGGAATACATTCGTTGTTTTCTGAGGAAGTTGGTATTTCTTGAACAGAAAGCTCTTCGACAGTAGTACTAGTGTAATTTGAAGACAAGGTGGTTTCTCCAGATACTATTGCAGTCCCTGTGGCAGATGTATTATCAGTTGGTGCAGATGAGGATGATTCTCCATTAACTAAGAAGGGAAAATTAATAAGATGATCTACCAAATAATGACAAAGAAATCAATTAACTAATCCATTACCATTTATTGTTGGTGTTAAGTGCTGCCATAGTGACCCAGTATAGGGGTTGGGTTCCCAAGAGTGGCTAGTGGGTTTGAACCACAGACCTTGAACGATTCTGTTCATTCATTGCTCATCCTATGGCACTACAACACTAGGACATCTCATTTATTTGTTGTGGCAGTTGTTGTTGAGTGCCACTAAGTCGGTTCCGACTCATAGCCACACTGTATAGTTTCCAAGGAACACCTGGTGGGTTTGAACCTCCAACCTTGTGGTTCAAACTGACCTTGCAATCCAGTGCTTATCCTACAGTGCCACACCAGGACTCCTTTTGAGGAATAAATAGTATGTAAATGATAAAAATATAACTTAAAGAAAGAGAAAACAGTATTAGGATAACAAATGTTCTAACTCGGCACGGTGGTGGTGATAGTGTGCCGTGGTGTTGGTTCTGACTCACAGTGACCCTGTACAGGGTTTCCGAGGATGTAAATTGTTACGGGAGCAGAAAGAATGGATGATATAAAAACTTAGCCAATCTCTTACAATTTCTTTTTTCTTATGCAAATCGTAACTAATATAGAAAGAAGTCTTCTGATAATGATGGAAAATACATAGTGACATTACATATTTATACTGGCATTCTTAAGATTATTTTGGATAAAAACAATAACAAAAAAATCCACAAACTGTACATGGAGTCCTGGTATAGCACTGTAGGGTAAACACTGGACCACAAGGTTGGTTTGAAACACAAACCAGCTGCTCCTTGGAAACCCTATTGTTGTTTCTATCAGTGCCACTGAGTAGGTTCCGCCCCACAGCAACCCTGTAAGGGTCGAGTGTTTATCCTATGGAGTCCTACCAGGACTCCTTCTACAGGGAGGGTCACTAAGAGTTGGAACCAACTCAATGGCACTTAGCAACAATATTCTACAATGAGAAATAACTCAGTATTGGGAACCAAAGACGTAATCTTCATTTTCATTTTGAGTGTGACTACTCAATCTTAAGTATGTCCTGGTGTGGCACTGTAGAATAAGCACTGGACTGCGAATCACAAGGCTGGAAGTTCAAACCCACCAGCCACTCCTCGGAAACTCTCTACAGGGTCAATATGAATCAGAACCGACTCAACTTTTAACAACAGCAATGTTGTAATACTCCAATTAAATACTCAAATTAAAACTCCAGGGATAAGAGCTTATTGAACAAAACCTATTAGAAGACTACACATCAAAGTTCTAGTTGAAATATAGGAGGGAGACTAATTGTAAGTAATGGAATCATCAGGTAGATTTTTTTTTTTTTTACTGTTTTATTGTGAATTATGTGATAGTTTACATGGGAGAACATCAGATTTACATTCATCCTATCATATACCGTTTCATTGCCATGGTTACAATTCCCTCCATGCATCATCAACCAAACAAAGGGTGTGCCCTACCAGCCTGCCCCCCGGTCGTCAGCACACAGCCCCTCTCCCTCTCTGGGTCTAGAGTCCCCAGCCACTCCATCTCTCCACGTCATCATCTCTGCCTCCAGGCCCAGCATCACTGTTTCTCTGGGGAGGGTCCCGCGCTCTGTTCTTCTCCCTTGATGGTTCCAGGGACCTCCGCTCCTGGACTGCAAAATCAATCACGCCCCTTCTTTTGCTATAAAACGTCTACCTTTACATTTCCAGCTCTCACAGTACTGATAGCAATTATTCATTATTGTATCACAAGAGACCTATCCCCATCTCCTTCATCAGCCCTGCCCAGACAGACTGGATACTACTCAGTGGAGATGCTACTGTTCAGGTAGATTTTTAAAGAAAAACTGCAACATAGAAAGAAGAAAAGAGGGCACTATAAAAGGAATAGTTTATGCAAAAGAACAAAAACAGAGCCAGTCAAGTTTCGTACCAAATATGGTAGAGGAAATGGCTTAGGGAAGATAAAAAAAAACAAAAAACAAAAAACCAAATTCAATAAACACAATATTTACAGAACTATTCCACATTCAATACTTTTAAGACAATATGGGGAAATCAAGACAGTGTCTATGTTGTGTTAGGTGCCATCGAGTTGGTACTAACTCATAGCGATCCTATGCACAACAGAATGAAACACCGCCTTTTCCTGAACCAACCTCACAATTATTACTAGTTTGAGCCCATTGCTGCTGCCATTATACCAATTCATCTGATTGGGGGTCCTCCTCTTTTTCCCTGACCCTTCACTTTACCAAACATGACATCCTTCTCCAGGGACTGGTCCCTCCTGACAGTATGTCTGAAGTATGAGAGACTAGGTCTCACCATCCTGGTTTCCAGGGTGCATTTTGTTATCTCCTATATCATGTTCATTTACCAGCATTTTGTCATGTAATTTTTACTTTTCAATGGTGTGGAAATTCCCATAAGAGAAAGAATCTGCAGTAGTCTTTTTCAAAGTAAAATAGCATGAAATGGGGAAAAGGTGCATGTGAATAAAGATATAACCCAGTCCAATAGGAAACAGACAAGTCTTTGCTCACAGCAAAATATAGCACACGAAACATAAACTATTAGAAAAAGATAGTACGTTAAATATTAAATGGTACTATTCAGTTGCTCAAAGCAAGAAATTTTCTCCTGTATCTGATGTCATAGGAAGTGCTCTCAGCCCTTCTTTCCATAATGATCACCACTCCACGTGGGTTCTGACTCATAGCGACCCTGGAGAGGGTTTCTTTGCGGGAGCAGAAAGCCTCATTCTTCTCCCAGGGTATGGCTGGTGGGCTTGAACCGCTGATCAGTGCTTATAGTATGGAGCCACATTCTAAAACCTGGGACTTATCCAGTGGTGGATGTGCCTTTTATCTGTATCAGACCTAACCGGTTATGCTGGTGCAGTGACGCAGGTGGAGGCTGGCCTTAACAGAAAGACCCACTGTGTGACATCAGCTGACCTCAGAGGAAGGGGGCAGGATTCACTCGACCATGTGTACATCATGAGGCCATGATACATAAGCTCCACATCAATACATGTGGAAGGGTAGACTGGTCCTTTTTGGGATATGGACACTCCACCTTGGAAATTTTCTAGATCTCACTCTATGAATCTCGTCATTTATATCCTTTTTACTGTAACTGTAAGTATAGATTTGTTAGTTGTTAAAGCAAACTACAGAATTCAAAGGAGTATCAGCATTATTCCATTTTACTAGGGAGGAGTCCTGGTGTGGTGCTGTAGGATGGTCACTGAGCTGCTGATCATGGGGTTGATGGTTCAAACTCAGCAGCCACTCTTCAGAAGTCCTATACAGAGTCACTAAGAGTCACAACCGACAAAATGGCACTTAACAACAACTAGTGAGAAAACAGATAATTACTGTACATGTATATAAGAATTGTTCTTCCTCATTCATAACTGATTTGTTGGCCATGGACTATACTAGATGATGCAGATCAATTATCTCATCTAAGTTTCATAACAATCCAATAAAGTAACTAGTTGAATATTATCTTCTCAATATACATATTATTGTTGTGAAGTGCTGTTGAATCGGTTCCGACCCATAGCGACCCTGTACAGAGTTTCCAAAGAGCAGCTAGTGAGCTTGAACATCCAACCTTGCAGTTCAAACAGCTCTGCAGTCTGATGCATTAACCCAGAGCACCACACCAGGACTCCTTAATATACATGGGAAAGCTAAAATTTGACAATGTTGAGTTTGTCCAGGGTGACATGATAAATAAATGGTAATGCTTGATTTGAAACCAGTCCTGTCAGACACTAAATCTCTAAATCATTTCACTATATCTTGACTGCCTCCAGCTTTAGGTTAAAATAACTACCAACGTTCAGTAACTAACCATATCAAAGGTTGTTGTTGCTAAGTGCCATCGAGTCAGTTCCGACCCATAAAGACCCTGAACAGGGTTTCCGAGGCTGTAAATCTTTACGGGAGCAGAAAGCCTCATCTTTCTCCCGCGGAGCAGCTGGCAGTTTCGAACTGCTGACCTTGAGGTTCGCAGACTAATTCGTAACCACTACGCTACCAGAGCTCTCATATCAAATAGATCCTCTTAATCGAGATTCTAAGAGTCCTGGTATGGCACTGTGGGTTAATGCGCTGGGCTGCAATGTCAGTTTGAATCACAAGGTCAGCGGTTCAAGCTCACCAGTGGCTCCTTGAAACCCTAAACAGGGTTGCTTTGGGTAGGAATTGACTTGACGGTACTTAACAACAGTAACAATCAAGACTCAGAAAGACAAAAGGAAAACAGCCCAGGTGCAAATGTCTCTGATGAAAAACCACTTGCTTTAAACTCCTCAGTATAAACACACAATCCCTTATTTTCAACCTGCTGGTGCCAGGTTCCCATAATGTGGTATACAGATTATATATTATACTAATACTTGGTGTGGTGCTGTGGGTTAATGTGCGGGAATGCAAAGTCAGTTTGAACTATAACGTCGGCAGTTCAAGTTCACCAACCACTGCTCAGACACCTTATGCTATAAATCAGAACCGACTGGAAAACAGTTAACAACAGTACTTAAAATGGATTCCTGATGTGGAGCTATAAGAAAAGCCCTCAACTTCAAGGTCAGTTTGAACCACAGGTGGCAGTTCAAACTCAACAGTTGTTCCTTGGAAATCCTATACAGGATTGCTATGCATCAGAACAAACTTGATTACATTTAACAACAACAATATTTTGTTGTTAACAACAATCTAAATAGGTTCTAATGTTAACAATTTATTTCTTTAACAAAATTTAATTATACTCACTCTAAGTGTGGTAAATGAAAGCTATAAATAGCTTCATAGTCATGCTAGTCATTTTGCCATCAAATAGTGTAAAGAAAATAAAAACTAAACAAAAAACACATAATGTTAGACAGAGATCTCAGGAATTTAAAAGTACAAGGGGATTAAATCCATGAAATATGCTCTATACAGACTCTGTACAACCCCACTACTGCTGTAACTTCTAACTAACAACAATGAAAAATGACTTCTAAAGTCCTGAGTTAAGAAAAAGGAGAATATTTTGTACCAACACCATAAAGGGACAGGGACATCTCCTGATGCTTGAAAAGGTACCTGGAGTCATCCTCTTAATAAGGGTTCAGAGATCAAGCAATGGAAATCAGTCAAGTGGTTGCTACCAACAGAATAGGTTCCGGAAGCCTTTTAAGTCAGCCAATGGAATGAGTACAGTTGAGATGTATTGTCAGATGTCACAGTAATAATCAGAGGAGGTAGAAGTGCTAAGTTGGGTGAGGAAATATTATTTCATGTCTATCATAGCATCAAAGAGTAACAGGAACAGATTTGAGGCACCATCATGAACACATCAAAGTGAACAGAAAAGCAAAGTGCAGAATCAAGAGCAACATGAAACCAGTGAAAGCTCTTCTGCTTCCTAGTTGTGACTTCTCTGCTTTAGTTTCTTCAACAGGAAAAAGGAAACCTACTAGTTATCATTTCAAAGGGCAACTGTGATGAATCAGTGAATGAATACATAGTACTTAGAACACATACAACACAAACTTCAGCTGTTACTACTACTACTATTCAGCTTGTCCTAGGTATCCCTGGTTGTTTTATGTCACAGGAATTATTTATGGCAGAGCCTTTACTTCTAGTTCCTTCTATGTGCTGTATTTTCACCTATGTGCTATATATAAGATCTATACGAGATCAAATTGAAAACACCAACTGGAAAGATTAGACAAGAACCTTAAAAGTCAGTGAGTTTAAGCTAATTGGGAGGAACAATTTAGAAAAGGCAGGTGAAAATGGTTGTACACCTTGAAGAATGTAATCAGTGTCACTAAATTGTACACATAAAAAGTGTGGAATTGGTGTATATTTTGCTGCATATTCAACAACAATTAAATTAAGAATCACACAAAACAACAGACACAAATACCTGCTAGGCTAAAAGGCATTGTATTCACTATTGGGAAAAACTCTGATCCTTAGCTAAACTACTTTTCTATGTGTTTGCTGATTTTTTTTTTAATCACTGGTTCTTCCTATAGGTATTGGTGTTCTGGTGTGGCACTATAGGATCAGCACTGGACTGCTAACTGCAAGGCTGGCAGTTCAAACCCACCAGCTGCTCCTTGGAAACCCTATAGAGGGTCACTTATGAGTGGGAACTGACTTGATGGCACTTAACAACAACATACGTACTAGGTACTCCCTCATATTATATTTTTTTTAATGGAAAAATTTAATTTTTAAATTAACCAAACTATGAGTAAGTTAAATATTTACAAATTGTTGCACTGTCCAGCTACAGAATGATTTGTTTTGCAATATGAGGTTATGCCATTATCCTATACGGAAGGGTTATATAAGACAGAGTTCTCTGAAACTCACTGTCAGATTTACTCTTTTGTATTATTGAGGATATTGTTCAAGTTAGGTTTCTTTTTAAACAGATCCATAAAAGCCTAAGTATGAATAATAGCAACTGTTTTAACTGGTCAGTTCTTAATTTAGGGATAACAGTGAATATTCTAAGATGATGTTTCCTTTTCTGCTTTACGAAAGAAATTTCAGTCACGTGTTTTCTTTAGAACGATTACACTCGGGAGGAAAAAATCTGCTAATTTCATGCTGATTATATATATTTATCTTCCCTTTACTTTCTAACTATCTTAAAGACTAAAACATTCTACCTAACATGAGTACTTGGGAGTCCTGGTGTGGCCTTGTGTGTTAATGCACTGACTGGACTGCAAGGTTGGTTTAAACCACAAGTCCGGCAGTTAAAGCTCATTAGGCACTCCTTGGAAAACATATACATGGTCACTGTGAATCGGAACCAACTCGACAGCATTTAATAACAACATAAATACTTGGAAACCATCTTTTAAGTCTTTCCTTTTTATTTTTTTAAATAAAGAGTAGCATGTAATAAAAACTATCAGGGTAATTCTTTGTCAATATTCTCCCATTCTTGGCTATAAACACACAATTAGGTATTACAAATAAATTTTGTTACTGAATTGCTTCTTTACAACTTTTTATTATTTAATACTTTTCCATAAATAGACAAACACAGGAAAGAACACAGGCTCTGGAATCAAATGAATAGGATTCCAGTTCCAGCTCCAACAAGTACTAGCTAGTAACCTCAAGCAAATGCTAAGATGCCTGAGTTCTAGGAAACTCAATCTGAGTTAACACATAAACAGCAAACATAAAAAAATTTATTGATATTATAGCTGAGTCCACTGCAAAACAGGATTATAGAGGAAATCTTCCTTAGATATTTCTTCTCAACAGAATAAAGTACACTTTTGAAAAATAGAAAATATTTGAGGAGCTGCATCATTTTTTTACTAAATTACATGCAAAAAAATTTTTTTAATACTGAAGGTTAAAAGAGGTATTAATTTTTAAAACAAATCAATAAAGCAGCTAAAGTTTTCAGAAATATATTTTACATCACATTAAACAGTGAATTTTGTGATATAAAATAAGAGAATAAGTATTTATATAAAGAATGTGTTGTGACTGAAAACTAATACATTTTTTGGATTATCTTTCTAAATAATTTAGAACTCAAATTCTTAGAAAAAAACTTCAGGGGTTATATTATTTTTTAAATTCGGATCATACAAGAGAAGATTAAGAAAGACTAAAGTAAAAGAAAATTCTAGGCATAGAAATATAAACCTTCATTCACCTTTCAATTAAACAAAGTCATAAATAGCTATGCTTACCAGTGTCATTGGCAGGCTCAGATGCAAGTGGTTTTGGAGCTGGTGTATTTTTGGGTCTGGCAGCAACCTGAGATGGAAATGAAGGTGTGTTGTCTCCATTAACTATATATGAACAGCTTGCGTTCTGAATTAGAGTGTTTGCACGTACAGGATTATCCATTCCATTAGCACTTTCGCCAGTTAACCTTAAAAAAAAACAAAAAAAAAAAAGCCTTATTTCAATGAGTTAACTACAATTAAACAATGTTTCATCAAAATAATTTCAGAAAATATTTACTGAGTTCTTAAAAGCAAGCAAAGTGTACAGAGTAATGAACAAAAATATAATAAGCTTTTATCATATTAAAGTTTAAATTACATTCAATTCTAAAGGTATCTACATTGCCAGATAAAATCAGTAATAAGATACACAAGTATACTAAAGTTAAAATGAATTTACTCCTTCAAATTAATGTTCGAAGTATGCATTTCAAACATTTAAGAATATTAATCTTTAAATGTTCTAAAAGTAGTTTCAGAAAGCAATGCTCATTCCTCTACTTGGTATTTACCCACAAGAAATACAAGCCATAACACAAGTAGATATAGGCACACCAATGTGCATAGCAGCACTATTTATATTAGTAAAAAGATGGAGACAGCCTAAGTGCCCATTAACGTTAGAATAGATAAACAAACTGTGGTACATACACATAATGGAATATTATGTGACCTTGAAGAACAACAAGGAAGCTGTAAACTATCACATAACATGGATGAACCTTGAGAACATTATGTTGAGTGAAATTAGTCAGTCACAAAAGGAGAAATACTGAATAGGACCACTGCTGTAAAAGACTAAGAAAAAGAACCCATTCTAAAGGGGGGCGAGGGCGTCTTTGCTGGTTACTGGGATATAGGAAGTTGGTTGAGGGGAGGGAGGGAAAGGCGGAGTACAGGGTAGGGATTAGACACAGGATAGTTTGGGTGCTGGGGAGGGGGGCAATACATAAGAAGCTGGAGGGCAAAAGAAGAACAAGGCAGATGGGAAAACAGGTAGATTTGCATGGGCTAAGTGGGACAGAGGTAAAGAACGATGCATGCACATTCTTGGAACAACAGGGCTCTAGGATACAGGGATTGAGACATGGTTGGAATGGGGAAGAAGGGGGAAATAATGTTAAGATGCTTGGCTGTCTTTTGAATCTTGGTTTCCCTTGCATACCATTATAAAATAGACACTTGAGGGGGAGAGAAAGGAATAGCCAGAAATATCACCATAGAAAGCTGATAAGTCCGTCTTCTGCCTATAACTGATTGGAATACCTAAAATGGGGCTACAACATGCCCAATGAAGGAGGCTTCCTGTGGTGCCTTTGCATTACATAAGACCATAGGTGGAATCCTGAACCCCATCCACAATCTTCTGAGATGGGAAATATCCACTTGAAAGGATGGGCAGACCAGCCTGTAGTGAGTGACTAGAAGAACAGAAGATACTTCTTGAAAGAAAGACTGAAAGGAAAAATGCAAAACAATAACGGCAGTCTGACTGTCTACTACAAGAACAAGCAAGTTGTTCACCCAGGGGACATCAAGGCAAGCGGTTGGATCCCCTCAGAACAAACAGCATTCCAAGACTGAGACTCAATGGGAATACAAGAGCAGATACGTGCTCTGACTGGTGACCATGTTGGTCACCGATAAGAGGAAGTGAGGGAAAACCAGCAACAAAGCTGTGCGCTAAGTCCAACCACATTCAATAGAAACCCAGGTGGAGATCTGGTTGGTCAGCAGTCTGGGCCCAGAGTCAGAGACATAGCCATAGAGGACTAGAGTGGAGAGTGAAGCATCCAGCTGATAAGAAGAGAGGGCATATGCACAAGAACACCCACACTTTCAGAAATACCCACTTGACCTGGCTTCAATGGCTGGATGATCAAAGTTCAACTAGAAGAAGAAAGAAGAGGAAAAAAAGAGTAATCTGATACAATTTGATGAACTTGACCTACACCTATGGATGCAGTAGCTCAAAAGCAGGAACAAATCTTTACAGCGAGGATCATTCCCACTACCCCCCTCCATACACAGAGTAGACAAGAGATGGGCAACCATTGGCTACCCAAAATGGGGGGGGCTACAAAGGCAAGAAGTGACTGGCTTACAAGCTTTCAAGAGGGAGCCTAGATCCAGAGGGCACGGAGGAAGGTAGAATCTCCACTAAGTAGTATTCAATCTGTCTGGGAAGGACAGATGAAAGGAGATGTGGATAGCACTCATGTGACACAATAGTGAATAATTACTACCAGGACTGACTCTGAGGGTTGGAAATGTAAAGGTAGACGTTTGGTAGAAAAGGAGGGGAGTGGCTGACTTTGTACTCCAGGAGCAGAGGTCCCTGGAACCATCAAGGGAGAAACAGTTATGCCAGAGATGGAGACAGACACGATGACATGGAGAGATGGAGCAGCTGGGAACTCTAGACCGAGAGAGGGAGAGAGGCTATGTGTTGACGACCAGGGGGCAGGCTTGCAGGGTGTACCGTTTGGTTGGTTAATGATACATGGAGGGTTTTTTGACCATGGCAATGTAATGATAGAGATAGGATGAATGTAAATCTAATGTTTTCCCATGTAAACTATCACATAATTCACAATAAACATTAAAAAAAAAAAAAAAAAGCAATGCTCATGGAACTGTATGAATCTTATAAAAACCAATTCCAAATATAAGTGCTGTGATTTTAATGAATACTGAAAAAGCTAAGCTCTGAAATTCTGAATACATGATGATCAGAAAAGAAAGCTGAATATCATATACTAGAGTTGGAAGAATTTACAGTACATAAACAACTGTAAACAAACAAATAAAACTTTATTTATAAAATCAAACATTTTAATCTTACTTGCAGTGGATGGGAATCATGCAATGATCATCTAAGTCACCAGAGAATTTTTTCTAAAATATACAGGCTGCTACTAACTTCCTCTGGTAGTGTAGTGGTTACGAATCGGGCTGCAAACCGCAAGGTCTGCAGATCGAAACTACCAGCTGTTCCACAGGAGAAAGATGAGGCTTTCTGTTCCTGTAAAGACTGACAGCCTCGGAAGCCCTGTGCAGGGTCGCTATGAGTCGGAACCGACTTCACAGAACACAGCCACCACCACCACCACTAAATTCCTAACTGATTTTCCTCCTTCCACTCTTGCCATGCTATCTGTTCTCCACAGAGCAGCCTGAACGAGCTCTTTCTAAGCTTCTCCTTGCTCTTTTTACAGGAGACATAGTGTATCAGTTTTAATGAATATAAAAAAAAAAAATGCTGAAAAGTCTTCAATTGCTCATTATACACTTGCATACCAAGCAGTAAAATTATAAGGACAAGACGAACAGAATAAACATTATTATTGGGCATTAGAATTTATAAAGCGTAAGTCAACTGCAAATGCACTCAGCGATCTGTACTTGTTATTTCCTCTGTCTGGAATGTTCTTCTTGAAAAATTCTGTGGGGATGGTTCATTTTAGATCAAACGGCACTTCTTCAGTGATGATTCCCTGGTATCTCACCTTAAAACAGGCTCCCTTCCATTCCTGTCACCTTATCTTGTTTCAAGAATTCCACAGTTGTTATCACTATCTCCTATTGGCTTGTTTTTCCACTTGCATACTAGCTACCTTTAGCCAACCCCCCACCCCCACCCCAATAGAATTATGGAAACAGGGAAGCTCTTCTCAGTGCCTGGACCTAATATCAGGCACCAAATAAGCACTCAGTAATTCTCTGTTAAATAAACAAATGAAAAAGGAATGCTAGCTTCCTACCCTGTCACTTAAATATTTGGAATGAGTTATGTGCAGATATGCAAACAGGTAGGTAAGGACTGAAAAGAGGCTCTGCAGGTGATTCTGGTTCTTCTCCCAAGCACTCAGTGGGAGTTAGTGATCCAGGAGTTTAGGTAAAGTTCTTCTGATACTGCAGAACTAACTTTCTTTCAAGACATGTTACAACATAATAAACATAATTTTTATGCATCCAAACTCTATTTCAAACATTATAAACACACACACTTCTTTTTAATCAATCTAACTATACCTTCTGATACTTAATTTTCTCAATGTAACCTATGATATATTAAAAGTTTTTATTTAAGCCAAAGAAATATTCAGGAAACAAACTTCTCTGGTTCAATTGCTTTGATGAGAATCACTTAGTGGTTATTTAGAAGCAATGGTAGTAGTTCTCTAGACTAATGACGGTCATATTTTATCATACACCAAAGAGCTTTTTTTAAAAAAAAAGTTCAATTAATTTCATAGATAGATAGATAGATAGATAGATAGATAGATAGATAGATAGATGGATGGATGGATAGAGATTGATAGATAGACAGACAGATAGATAGATAGATAGATAGATAGATAGATAGATAGATAGATTTCCCCCCCAAAATATTAATTCCATTATAGGGAACCTTGATGTACTCAGCTGCTAACTGAAAGGTTAGTAGTTTGAACTTACCAGCCACTGTGTCAGGATGTGGCAGCCTGCTTTTGTAAAGATTTATAGCTTTGGAAACTCTATAGGCAATTCTAGTCTGTCTTATAGGATTGCTCTGAGTTGGAATTGGCTGGGTATCAATGGGTTTGGTTAATTCTATTATATTTGAACTACTATATGCTTTTATTCCAAATTAAATGCAATCACGCAACATTTATATGTCCACAATATGTTCTGAAAAATAGGGTATTGCATGATTTGGACACTACGCAAACACAGCATTATGTACATGTAATCCCTGGATTAGGAATAAGTTTTCTTACTAACTTGGTCTTTAAAGTTAAATTTATATGTAAGTCCTAAATTGGAAGAGTTAAATACAGCTTGCATCTAACATCAGTCAGTCAAATGTTGTCTTAGTATATAGTGCATTTTTTCTGTGCATAGAAAACACTTCCAGATACACTAAAACAGCTTTAATATAATATAGTAATTATAATGTTTTAATGTGCATCACCAAGTAGCACCCATTTGTTATTACGAACCATTTTATGTACTTTGATTTTGTAAAAGGTATTATGGGGGTAGGGACCATGGATGTATATGTACTGGACTTTGCCTGAACAGACGTTATGTGGTTCATGACTCCATTTTGAATAGAATTCCCAGTAATCGTCATGAAATGAGAATGACAGGAAGGTGTTGAAACGGCAAGATGATTTTTGAGGAAGACCACAGTCCATGTAAAACCTATTTTCTACTGAGTTGCAAGAAGCTGACAATTCAGACAATTTTGATAACCACACTTTCCCACAGTATCTGACTTATTTTAGGATTTATCAATAAAATATGCTTGTTGATGTTAAGTGTCATTCAGTGGGTTCTGACTCACAGTGACCCTGTATAGGGTTTCTAAAGCTGTAAATCCTTGCAGGAGCAGAAAGGTTCAAGTTGGTAGGCTTGAAACCTCCGACCTTATGAAAATATTATATAAATGAAAGAAGTCAGCCACAAAGGTCACATATTGTTTGATTCCAATGATAGGAAATGGACATAAGAAGCAATCCATAAAACCATAAAAAGTAAATTTGCAATTGCCAATAGATGGGAGGAAGCAAGAATGGTGAGGGACTGCGCATACACCTAGAGTTCCGTCATAGTGGTGAAGAGAATCTTCTGAAAACAGACCACTGAATGTGCATAACTCTGTGAGCATACGTAGTCACAGAAATGGATACTTTCAAAGGGCAGATTTTATATATTAATAAAGATGTTTTTTAAAGGAGCTATTTTCACAAGAATTCAGTCAAATGACATATTTAGATATTAACTTTTATTGTAAATGTTTTATTGTGAATTATGTGATAGTTTACATGGTAGATACAAACTTTTAAATTCTGTGGTAAATTCTAAACTAAGATAAAAATATAAAAACTGCAGTGTTGCCACAGACCCGAAAATAAAATATTCTACCTGGTAGCTGTCCTTGCTGAAGGCTCTCCATTTTCATGTACGGCATCACCATTTTGCTGTATTTCTACTGAACAAGAAGAAAACAATAAACTAGATTTTTGTGTACTTCCTGCTGATACTTTTCCTTGAATTTTATACACACATAAAGTTAGCTTACTGGTTGGAGACGAGTTGCAGTTTGCTAGATTTTCTTGCTCAACCACCAATCCATCAAGCACTACTGTCAATTCACCCGTCTGGACTACACCATTCTTATTTTCTAAGGAAAGCTTTAATTGTTCTTTCACTCTTTCCACTAGGGGAAGAAAAAACCACTAATTTAAAGGCTGTTACCACATACAAAAATGTTTCAGAAATAAAATGTACATTTCAAGATTATTTTATTCAGGACTTGACAACTGTATTTGGAAGAAATTGTTTGTATGTTTATCTGTAGACATTTAATACTTCAGCATTACTTCATTATAGCGAAATACCCTTCCACTCCTTCAATATCATCTTAAATTGTTCCTTTGTACATTATAAACCTTTCAGAACATATATCTAAATAATACCACATTATAATAGTTTTAGCCTCTTTCATTTTTCAATTAATGTATCCTGGCCATTAAGTCCTAACAGTAAATATCTTTCTTGTTCCTCTTTATAGTACACTATTTGGTGGACACATCATAGTTGTTAAAGTAGTCCTTTGTATATGAATATAAATTTCAAGATGCATGTCTAGATCTATGACAGTCCATTTGGGATTCTGAGTACAACTGCACACTGACTTTATAATTAAGGAAGACTGACAAACTAAGGATATTGAGTTTTCTTATTCAGCAATATAATTATCTTTTAAGTCCTTGCTGTGATTCAGTAGTTTTATAATTCTCTGAATACAGATTTTATATACCTTGTTAATTTAGTTGCCAAATAATTTATCAATTTGTGCTACTGTAAACAATGACTTACAGGAAAATCACAACAACAAAAACAGATGTTCTTTAGCTTCCAGCATATAGCAATTCACTAAAATCTTACAAGAAAATATTTCCTACAATGAAAAGTAATTTATAGTTTGGTGTCTTCCAAACACACAATGATTGCATTAGTACAGGTCAGACTCTTTTTTGCTTCCTTTCTAATCTCTGTATTTTGTTTTTCTGAATGGACTCCAGTACAATTATAAATGGAAACGATACTGCACATTCTTCTCTGTTCTTGATTTCAAAGGAAATAGACTTAATATTGCTTATTTAAAATAAAAAAATTGTCAGTTATAGCTTTTAGGTAACTGAAAACATCATTTTATTGTAGACAATAGATTGCATATATTCCTTTTTATCCCAGTTGGCTGGTAATCTTTATAAACTGAGTTTTATCAAATGTCTTTTCTGCTGACATCAAGATAAAATCTATTTCAAAGAGTTAAAAGAGAATTGTTTTATACACTTTCAAAGAGTTGTAAAGGTTAAAATGATCACTTTCTTGAAAATTTAGTGGAACTTCGTCTGTAAAACAATGTGGCATGACTCTTTTTAATATATATAAGATTTACCTACTGATTCAATAATATTGAAGTAACTATTCAGGTTTTCCATTTCTTCTTGATTCCATTTGTTTTTGTTTAATGGAATTTATACATCCATGTATTTTTTTTTCAATTTCAAAGCGTAAGATCTTTCTTATTCTATTATCCTTTACATGTTGTTGTATCTGTAATTATGTTCTCCATTTAAAATCTACTACCTGTATCAGATTTCTGGTGTGATGCTATAGGATACGCACTGGACTGGCAAACACAAGGTCAATGGTTCAAACCCACCAACTGCTTCTCAGAAATTCTGTAAAGGGTCTCTATGAGTCAGAATCGACTCGAATGCACTTAATATCTGTACGATAAACACAGTAGTGTAGTGGTTACGAATCGGGCTGCAAACCGCAAGGTCAGCAGTTCAAAACTACCAGCTTTTCCAAGGGAGAAAGATGAGGTTTTCTGCTCCCGTAAAGATTTACAGCCTCAAAACCCTGCAGGGTCACAATAAGTTGGAACCAACTCCACGGCACGTAACCACCACCACCCTAATCATGAAGTTGGTGGTTTAAGCCCACCAGTTGCTCCTAGGAAATCCTAAACAAGATCACTATGAGTCAGAATCAACTCAATGACACTTAACAACAGTTATTTCCAACACTGTCTGTCAGTTTGTTGTACTATGGTGGCTTGTGTGTTCCTGTGAAGCTGGAAGCTATGCTACTGGTATTTTAAATACCAGCAGGGCCAACAATGGTGACCATGGTTAGCCACTAAATATCTTATAAATAGCAGTAGAACACTGTCAGCTACAATGATGGATATGAGCCCCTCAGGTTGTAAAACACTCAAAATATGACTCAGGAAGAAATGCCAACTCAAAGTACAGTTCACTTTAATGATGTAGATGGAATTGGAAAATGAAAAAAGGAAAACCATAGAAAAATGAATACATTTGAAGTATGGTGTTGGAGGTGAATGTTGAAAGTACCACGGACTGCCAGAACAACAACAAAAAAATCTATCTTCAAATAAGTACAGCCAGAATGCTCCTTAGAAATGAGAATGGCCAAAGGAGAAGAGCATGATTGGAAGGTGGGACCCTATCCAGAGAAGCAGCAACACCAAAGATGGAAGCTGAAATGACAGCATGGAGGACTCTAGATTCATGGAAAGAGAAAGGCTGTGTGCTGGCAGCCAGGTGCTGGGGTGGTCAGGGGGCAGGCTTGCACAATGTGTCCTTTGATTGTTTAAATGATTAAGTATTTATTTCTCAGTGTTTTTGTGTACACCCACCCCTTCCCCCCCAAAAAACCCCAGAAGGAATAGAAGTAAATGTTGAATGATGATGCACAGAAGAGATAATAATCAGTGCAATGAAACGATGAGTGAAAAACTGATGTTTACCTATGTAAACTAATCACTCAACTCATAATGAAAACTTGAAAAAGAAAAGAAGTGAGGATGGCAAGACTCCATCTCTTATACTTAGGACATATTATCAGGAGGGACCAGTACCTACAGAAGGACATCATGCTTGGAAAATTGGAGGGTCCACAAAAAAGAGGAAGACCTCCAACAAAATGGATTGACACAGTGGCAGCAACAATGGGCTCAAACACGGTAATTGTGAGGGTGGGCGTGTTTCCTTCTGCTGCACACAGGGTCTCTATGAGTTGGAACCAATTCTAAGGCACCTAACAACAGCAACAATCATTTATTTGTGGTATTTCCTGAACTCCTCATTGATATTTCTAATATACCTACTCCTTGCTTACCGACTATCTTTTTATTTGACATTTCACATTTACAACAGTAGTAAAAAAACTGTTATCTAAGAACTTCTGGTTATACTGCACATTAACAAACATTGGGTGTAACACACATTGGGTGTAACACACACTGGCAACAACAAACACTGAGGTGTAAAGTGAGAATAACACTGAGTGATGAGTAAGATTATGTGTCAACCAGGCTGGGCTATCATTCTCAGTGGTCTAGCAGCTGTTTAATGATGAAGTCAGCCTCCACTCTTGCCTAACTTGATTTCTGCAATAATGCCCTAGTCTTTGGAACCTAATCATGTTGATAACAGAGATAACTTTTGTCTTTATTGATGCTCTTTCTATATATAAAATATATAAAATATATATATATGTGTGTGTGTGTGTGTGTGTGTGTATAGATAATCTTTTATTCATTTTTCATCCTGCTGATTTCTGGAGACTTCTTTTGTTATTGTTCTAACTTCTTAATTGGATGATTAGCTCAAGAAGTTTCGTTCTATACAGTTATTCATTTCTCTTTGCGTTTTGATAATGACAATTCAACTATCCTTTCTCTTATTCCACAAATTTTTCAATGCACTCTTGTATTTTACTATTGTTTTAGATATTTTTTATTTTTTTCATTATTTCTTTTTACCTGTGCTACTCAGTACTTAACCTTTTTAATAAAATATATTAGAATATTAAAATTGAGATCAGAGATTGGCTACATGAGCCTTTAAATTTGGGACTTGATTTACTTGATGGTTTAGTATGCTATCCATTTCTGGAAACTTTCAAACTAAGTTACAGTTGAATCAATCCCAACTCATGGTGACCCATGTTGAGTAGAACTACACTCCACAGGGTTTTCAAGGCTGTGATCTTCTGAAAAAAAGATCACTAGGCCTGACTCTGAGGCACCCCCAGGTGAGTTTGAACTGCCAACCTTTTGTCTAGTAATGCTTAACAATTTGTATTACCCAAGGACTCCAAGAAAAAGAACAGTGTCGTTGTTGAGTGCTACTAAGTGGATTCCAACTCATGTTGTTGTTGTTAAGTACTGTGGAGTTGGTTCCGACTCATAGCGACCCTACACAGGGTTTCCAAGACTATAAATCTTTGCAGGAGCAGAAA